CGCGGGACGCGTTGGTGCGGTGGCGGGCGTTTGGCGGCGGCGTCTCGGACGTGTGGCCCGACGCGGTGGGCTGCGTGGTGGTGGCGCCCGTCGCGGCCGCGGCGGCCTGATCTGGTCCGGTCCGGGCCCGATTCGGGCGGCGGATGGCTCGGTGGCCGCCGGTGGCTTCTCCTCCCGCTCCTGGAGGTCTCCCTCCTGCCTTCATGGGTGGATGGGGTGGCTGCTGCGCGGCTGCAGGGCGGGTGGCGGCACGTTCGTCTTGGATCTGGCGGTGGGATCCGGGTGGACGCAATGGTGGGGCAGCGGCCGGGTGTAGCCGGGGTTCCGGCCGTGGGCGGCAGCGCGCGGAGGTCCGGCACATGGTGGTGGCCTCCTGGGGGCGCGGCGGCTACACGGTGGTTTCGCGGATCTGCCCGCGGCGACGGCCGGCTATCTCCGGCGTCGGCTCGTTTGCGGTCAGACCGCTTCAACCGTCGCTCCATCTCCTCGCCGTCCAGGCGATACTTCGGTCCAAGGGCTGGCCCTCCGTCAGCTACGGTCCATCGCTCGTCTCGCGCCCGGCAATAGGACTGAGCTCGTCTCGCGCTCGGCGGCGGGACGGAGCTCGTCTCGCGCTCGGGGCCGCAGGACGGGCGATGGAGGCCAGTTTTGGCCGACCTATTGGGTCTCGGCGCTGGGGGTCGTCCAGGGGTGCGAAAGGCGGGGCCTTTTCGCTTATCTCTTCGGTTGGGGTAGCGGCGGGTCTCGGGTCAGGTGGTGCCTAGGTCTGGGATGCCGGGGTGGCGGCTCCGGTGATGGTAGCGCGATGCTTTTGGGTAGAGCCCGTGGCTTGGTGCTGCCCGGTGGCCATGGCCGTGCGGGCGGGGTGACAGCCAGGATGCGGCGTTCGGTGGTGGTGAAGGGCGGCCGGGGTGAAAGCCTGTTCTTTCTGCGGACAGACCGGCAGCGACGAAACTCGTTCCCTTCTTGAAGGCGGCGGCGTGGCTCTTATCGCCCATTGTGTGCTCCAGGGGAAACTCTGATCCTTGGATCGGGCGGTGGCGGCGCTCTGGTGTCGTATCCTTACTGAAGGCGCCGCCTTAGAGTCACCGGATCGTTGTATGCGGCTTCATCTCTTCATAGTTAGGGATGGTGTTGCTGTGCTCAGCACCTGTGTATCATGCCTTGGGTGTGTGTTTGTTATGATGGCGTGCGTTTGTTGTGGTGACGTGCATTTGTATTGGGATGTAAGTGATCTTTGCTTTTATTATATATAAAACAGGATGGAAGCCTTTTTGGAAAAGGTGATGGAGACTAAGCAAAGCAAAGAATCTGATGCGCTCAACGTGCAGCTGGGGCCACCTCGTCAGGGCAGATCACCTTTGCCCAACAAGGGGTTCTTATTTTATTTATTTAAGAATCCAATTGGCGGACGTAATCGCCTCGGCACGTTCTCAGAAGGTGGTCGGCAAATGAAGTGTAAAAGCACGTGTCCACTGCCCTCATTCTTCTGTTAATTGCAACAACTTACAAGGCAATACAAACACATGGTGGCAACAACAAAGTACTGCTGAATAAAGCGAGTCTCTAATTCTCTATGAATAATTAGCGAGGCCACCACCCCTTGTGGAAGGCGCCATCGAGATCGGGGTGAGACTACAATAAAAGCTGGACATATGATAGAAAAATAGAAAAAAAAAAGTTGAGGCTGTTGGATCTTTAATGGGTGCTTCAGATTTCCCACGTGGGCTGGTGGATTCTCTGTACATTTCATGAAAAGCTCCCTGTGTGACTGCTATATACAATAAAGATCCTCCCACCTACTCCCAAGTTGCCTGATCTGAAGCACCCATTGAAGATCCAACGGTTCATATTTGTTTTTCTATTTTTCTATCCTATGACCATCTTCTATTGTAGTCTCTCCCTCGAGATCGAGGCACTTCCCCCTCTCCCACACCATCAACCAGGAGACAAGGACGACGTCGACACCCGACCTGCGTTTGATCGACAGGAGGTTTGCTTTTGCCTCTAAGGTCTAGCGACTAACATGACCCTTCGAAATCTATGAGGTTATTCTATTTTTGTTTTTGTATGCCGTTTCAGACTCATGGAGAAATACCATGACGCGGCCATCAAATATAGATATATATTTTGGCTGGCTCCGGCGAGGAAAGGGCGATGACAATGGTACGCCTTTGGCTCGCTTCAGTGCGTGTAGTTGTCGTTAGATGGTCTACGAATTTGAATGTATTTTTTTATTATTTCTGGTGTTTGTTGTCCTACCATGATTGAAGATGAATGGATTGAAAGTTTTTTCCGTAAAAAAATCTAGACATTTGTTTTAACTAATATTTTCTCTAGAAAAACTAAGTACAATATGGATGCACACATGCACACCAACACCTCACTCGCATATTCACACAACAGCTATTAAAACGGAGTGCAAACCAACCTGTGGTCGGAAAGATTGTGGTATCCCAGTCCATCAGGATTGAAGTCCCAGTGCTGGTTTTTTTGATTTATTTCGGGATTTCCGGCAATGCTTGTTCAATGGGAGGAGATGGTCCGTCGACCAGGAGACGCCTGTGGCATCTTCTGTTGGAGTAATTATGCATCTCTAGGATGCCATTAGCAGAAACTGATTGCATCTAGATCACACAATAATCAAGAACAGAGATGGGTTTAGGGATTCTTTACATGTCACAACAGTGGACATGATCGCCTGCTCGGTGCAGGCTTGATGCAGGGGTGATGTAGTCGAAATAGAGGTTGTCCTCGCACTATATAATAACAAACAATAATAAGTAAGAAAAACTACACAAGTATCTATCTAAATCATACAAGTAAGAATTTTTTTTCCTTTTAGAAAGAAGATAAGGTCAAGAGGCTCACCACGGTGGTGCATTGACGAGATCGGCGCGGGCGATCAACGGTGGTGAGGACGGGGACGAGACAGGACATGCCGCCAAACCTAGACAAATCTTGAGAAAAATGGAGGTTGGATAAGGAGCTTCGAGAGGAGAAAGCTTAAGTATAGCTCGGGCATTTAATCGAACACCTCATGTGCATAGGAGCTGAGCTAGAGCACCACAAATCTCTCCAACGGCTGGCCAGAAAAACAAAGCAATGGAGTGCTCTGCTCGCGAGCGAGGGGTATATATAAGCATCTCATTAGTCCCGGTTCGTGGCTGGAACCGGGACTAAAGAATACCCTTTGGTCCCGGTTACAGTCACCAATTGAGACCAACGTGGTTACGTCTATATATACATATATATGTATATAGGCTTGCTAAACTAAGCCTACTCGCATTACTTCTTATCGTACACTCCGGCCAGTACGCGCTAACTAGTCGGAAGGGTGTGCGCGTCGTGAAAATTCCACGTAACAATTTACGACCAATACAGGTCCACACGCTTTGCTAGCTTCGTTCCTTTGTAAAAAACAGTTACTACATTCTTGTTCACGCGTTACTACATTGCAGTAACACGTTTACTATACGCCAGGACTGAAGCATCTCTAATTCGTTCGTTGGTAACACAAATTATTTCATTACCATCCACTGGGTCCTTTTTACTAGTATAATGAGCATGTAGTAATTCGCTACTACATAATATGATGGAGTAATGCGTTAACCAAGCGGAGGTGTGTATTTTTCAACAAAAGGCACATGCAGTAATGCGTTACTATGTTTACCATGCGCTCCAAGATTGAAGCATCTCTAATTTGTTCTTTGGTAAAACAATTAGTTTTATTATTACCATCCACTCTATCCATTTTACAGCTAAAAATTAGTAACATGTAGTAATTCGTTAGTACATAATAGAATGGATTTACTATGCTTAGTAGGCCAAGGGACCGGACCATCTCATTGCTTGGTAAAGAATTCTCATCCATTACCATCTCTTCCATCTATATTACTGCAAAAATTAGTGACCTACGAATCGGGATGTCAGGGACGATGCATCATAACCAAATTAAATCCCGTTACTTTTTCCTACAAACACTTTTACCCTCAAATATGCATACACCTGGTGCGACCCGCCCGCTTAATTAGGCCGGCATGCACGCTAAGGCATTCTACGTGCTCACTTACAATAGCACAGCCGTATATACATATGTATATACGGTGGCGCTATATGCGTGCAAAATACTTATTTTGCGCTCCGGCCAGGCTGGTTGAGCCGGCTTTGGCCGCGGAACGGATCTTCTTTCCACTCCCTAGTAAAAAGTCTAGCAAACTATAGCAAAGGAATTAAAATGGTTACAGAAAGACTCTCTAGTCCCCCGCTCTGCTTGATTAGTGTCTTTATATTTCCCCTAGTAAAAGTTATAGCAATCGTAGTAACGTAATTAAAATTTTACCGGCTACACTCTCTGGTCCACAACTCTGTCTAGTTAGGCCTCGTAATATAATTTGGGCACATGGTAATTAACCATCAGTTGGATGGTAATATTTTTAATTGGAGACTGGATGGTAAT